AAGAGAGAAATTACATGATTTTGTTAAGCATCTTCTGCTGTTCCATTACTCTTCGGTATTTCATCAATTTCTTCTGTTTTTCAGTCAACTCCTTAGATGTGGAAGGAAGAGCTATAGGTGGCAACTGAAGGTTCCATACATCTTCATCTTCATCAGGAGAGTTTGTTGATTTACTTGGAGCTGACATCTAAAATAAAATATATATTTTTTTGGACAGAGGGAAAAACAGTAAGATTATTAAACTAATTTTCATAAAGATGAGATTATGGCAATCATTTTAAAGCAGATAAAGATGTTAATTTACTGCTTATGCAGAGATGGGTGGAAGTCAAAACTTAATATATAATATGAAGTAATTCTGTTGATAAGTGCAGTGTTATATAACTTTATATGCATTTCATTTGACCGATAGTTATTTTTCAAAATTCTAATAAATGGAAACTATGGTAATAACTTTCAGGATCAATTTAATTAAGCAGCATCTATATAGGAAGGAAAAGTGCTGTGAACTCAACAGTGGGTTGGTTTTTCAGGAAGAGCAGGGCAGCTTCATTTGCAGCAACGGCCGTCTTGCCCTATCCCGGAAAATACAGTAAGTCTCCAAGCAGGCAGCAGAAGGAATGCCAACTGCAATCCTGGAGCCATAAAACACCCCCTTGCTTAAAATATATCTCGCTCTCTCTCCGTCTGCAGCCACGTTTGGGAGGCATCCGGGCGACAAGCCCAGTTGTCTTGTCACCTTCTGGGCCGCTCACCTCTTTCAGGGATGGTGCTCCAAGCAAGGCTGGGAACGGTTGGGTTTGGCCGAGAAAAGAGGACCGAGGAAAGCAAGAAGGCCTGGCGTCCAACTCCACAAGCGCCGGGACTGGGTTTGTCAACAAGGCGTTGGTTGCTATGGGAACGAGGTAGTCTGTTTGGCGGACGGGTCCCACCCTCCGCTTCAAATTCACCCGCCGCGCGAGGAGGGCTTGCCATGCCCGAGGCTTAGCCTGGAGGAAGGGGTTTCTTCGCTGCTTAACCGGGAGGTGGAAGCGCTCTACGGCGGGGAGAGGGGTGTTGACTTTGCTTTATTTCTCCAAAAGGGACGCACCGTTGGGCCGGTGCCAAATGCGCCTCTTTTATCTTTGAATTCCTGCCTTTCCCGGAGGGTGGTTAAAAACGAACACCGTGAGGAAAAGGCGTCCTAATCTTGCTCAGAGATACTTCGCTGCCACTTAAGTTAGCAGTTGAGCTCCGTTAAGAGGAGTCCCACACGAGCAACATTTTAAGTAACTCTGGAAATGCTAATTATATTGTCGCTAAAAATATGAGTGACAAGAAACGAAATATCACTTCAACGAGATGATTCGGGTTTCTTTTTAAAATATTGAGCCGGAAAAATAGTGCTATTCAGAGGACCCCTAATGTATGTAAAAGCCGGTGGCGGTTCAGATGTGCTGAGACCAAGAAATTGAATGATTTTCAGAATTTCAACTCAGTGTGGGGATAAAATGAATAAGACTTTTTGTGTAAGCTGTGTTGAGGTCCTGGAGAAAAAGTAAAATATAAATTGAAGGGATAAGATACTGGCTTACTCCAGATCCAAATATTAGTTCACCTTTCTAGCTCATTGTTTATCCTGTATTGCCTGGCAATACCTAATATTTTCTGGCTCTTGAAGATTAAAGGAAGCAAGAAATTTGGAATGTACCTCCCTACTTCATTCTCTTTTCCAACATACACAAATATGAAAAGTTACTTTATTTTGTTGCATACGATTATAAAGAGCTACAGTAAGAATCTTTAGTTGCTTAATGGATACATAAAAAGAGGTAGTATTATAATCCTTAGTGTGCTGAATGATACAATGTGAACCAATGCAAAGATTTGTTAAAGCAAAATATTTATTCAAAAGTGTTCTTGGTGTTCCATTGGAAATAACTTCAAGAAGGATAGAACAAGTCTACTCAGATTCAGAACCGGTGTAGTTAATTTCTTCAGACTGATTACTATCTAGAAAGTGAAGAACCCTGCTGAAAGATTATTCACTCTGAGAATAAATACATGTACTGGTGGTGGATACTTTTGATGCTTGAATAATCATGGTGAGTTTTGCAACTTTGTGTTTCTATCATATTGTGTGTTTAGGAGTTCAAGAAGCCCTACTATTCCCATGGCTTCCCTACATTGTCCTCAAAATTGTCCTCAAAAAGAATTACTTCAGTAAATTGCCACTGTGACACAATGCTGGATGATAAGCACAAAAACAAGCTCTGGAACTGAGCATTTTTATAATGAATGGATGGAATCTGTGTAACAAATCCTGCAACTAGAAACTGCTTAGAATTGGTGGTAACTTTCTGAGATTCTTAACTACATTCACAAAAATTTGCTAAACAAAAAAAAAAAAAAGCAAATTTGGGTTTGATTAACTTTTTTCTTAATGTGTGAAGCTAAATATTGCAGTTTGTACCTTCTGGTTTAAGTATGACTGACAATGTTCATCCAATGTACTGCATCACAAATTAGTTTGTTTGCATTTGTAACCACAATATTGTGCAAACCCCCAAATTGGATTGAATGAACATGGTTAAGCAAGCATATTACAATATAAAAACGCAGTCAAGTGAAATTTATTGTATCATTAAACCAAATAGATATTTTATTGCCAGAAAAATATAACTTGAATAAATGAGAAGGATTTTTGCTCTTTAAGTATGCACATAAAATTACTTTGTCAAAGTAAACATTTTTTCTGTGAAGTTTGCTAGAATAGCTGTTCATATACTGCTGTTGAGGTGTTTTTATTCATATTTTTGTTTTACTATACATTCCCTAATGTGTACTGTTCATGACCCAAGTATAGAAATATTAGATACAAATTTTGAAACAAATGAAACAAAACTAGTTAGAATGAAAGCTATCTGATCTTTATTTTTTGAAATTTAAATTTATCTGAACTGAATCTCAACTAATTACATTGGCATATTTTTATACAGTACATAAAGGTTTATTTGTAAAATGCCTTAACTTGAACATAAGAGCTCTATTAGCACAGGCCAAAGGTGTGTCTATTTCCTACGATGAGACTCTGGAAAACTCAGAAGCTGAATAGGATGACAACAGCTGTCATCTATAGTTGATCTTCAATAACTGGTATTCAAAACTGAACTTGTTTCAGACATGGAAGTTGAGCATAACAAATATAATGATAAATTTGGCTCTTGTCAGAATACAAACTGAATAAGTGGTCAACTGGTTTATCGCAGGTGCTCTATTCCATCATATCTGACAACTATTCAGTGCCGTTCATACCCTTTGGGTCAAAAAAGATTGCACACCATTACTTATGCAGTATATCTTCAAGGTGTGAACACTGACAACAAATTGACATTTCAGATATCCTGTGTAGAATTCAAAAGTTTCTTGGTCCTATTCCAAACCATGTTACCTGATGAAGGATGCAGGACAACTGCTTGAAGTAGAGGCAAAGTTTTATTTCAATAGCATGACATGCAGTAGAGCAATCAAAAGGTAGACTATGAACTTAGAATGCTCAGAATGGTAATATTTATGATAAAAATGGACTTTGATATAAAATGTTAATGTTTGCTTGCCAGTGCTGGTTGGCTTCCCATTATTTTGTCTCTAGCTCTGTTAGGGAAGGCTGTTGCCTGTTGGAAAAAAGGCTTGTCTATGTGGCAAGTGTGTTTTCTTCCTACAGCATAATGTACTTGGAGAAGTCCCTGGTCTCTGAAAATGTGTCCCTATGGAAGTGGATAATACTTATCCATTAGTTAAAAAATATATTACAAAGAAAACCAAACACAGTACAATTTTTAAGAGATTAAAAGAAAGATGCACACTGTATAAAATAGGAATCCAATTTACACGTGTACAGGCTCAGAAAATCACAACATTAAGAAAACTTTCATGGACAGGTCTATAAAGTTTTTATTTTTAATTTTTATCCATCCCTCATTTTTATAGTCAACTGAAGGCAGCAAACATACATAATACTCCCTTCTATTTTCTCCAGAACAACCACCCTGCAAAGTGGATTGGGCTGAGACTGGCCCAAAGACACTCAGCTGGCTTTCATGCCTAAAGTGAGACTAGAATTCAGAGTTTCCTGATTTCTAGCCTGGTTACTAGAAATCAAGCTAAAGCTATTAGTCTTAATTTCTTTGCAGTGATATTTAAATACTTCCAAGTAAAATGGGAGTTAATAAGTTGTACTTCTACCCAATTCCTGAAAAACTCTTCAGTTTCTTTGCCTCTAATTTTCTAATTTGCAGTGAATTGTTAAAACAAAAAATACGCTTAAGTTTTTTGCCACTTTTTAACATTAACAATAAAGAGCAGTTCCATGCCTCTCTATATTAGTGCTTTAGAACTCCTGACATGCATAACAGATTTTGTTATTGTTTTTGCACCTGGCCTTAACACAGTTTTATAATCTACTAAAACACCTAATTCTGAAGTGCCTACCACGACTCATTCAGTTCTGGTGTAGAGAAAAGAACAAATCCACAAGCACAAGGCAAGCCGCTGACGGAGAAAGACTATTTCCGGTCAGTGGTGCTTCGTAAATTCAGAGCTACGCCTAAAGCAGGGGTAGGGAAACTTGGCCCTTTTATCACTTATGGACTTCAACTCCCAGAATTCCTGAGTGAGCCATAAAAGGTTCCCCATCCCTGGCCTACTGGTTTTTCAGTTGTGGGGGAAATCAATTTTTGACTTGAATGGGACTGTTTAATATACAAATGTAGGACATATGTATACATTTGTAGGACATATGTATACAAGTGTAGGACATATATATACAAATCTGGGACATATGTATACATTTGTATATTAAACAATCCCATTCAAGTCAAAAATTGATTTCCCCCACAACTGAAAAACCAGCAGGCCAGGGATGGGGAACCTTTTATGGCTCACTCAGGAATTCTGGGAGTTGAAGTCCATAAGTGGTAAAAGAGCCAAGTTTCCCTACCTCTGGCCTAAAGAGATTCGCCAACTTCCGGGTCCTTTAATTCTCCTCCCCTTTCTTTTGTTGTTCCGCTCCCTCGTTTAATCAGCCCTCAGGGTCGAGGCGCCATTTCCGGCAAGCGCTGGTTTCCTTTCCCGGGTCGCGCTTCCTCCTTCCTCTTCCCTCGCTGCGAGTTTTCTCATTGGCCCTCGCGGAGCTGGGCAGGGCGGCCCAAGTGATTCTGTGCTGTGGGGCGAGCGAGCAGACGAGCAAATGAATGGTGTCAGCTACGGGCTCTTGCGGCGTTTGCTGGGCACTTTGAAGGTCTTTCCCGTGTTAAGGCGTCCGGCCAAGCAGCGGCTGACTTGGTGGTTGTCCACCGTCACCATGGAGCGGGCGGTGGTGCGTTGCGTGCCGGCGGAACCTAAGCTCAGCGTTTCCATCGTGCTGCAAGACGGTAAGACCCGGCATGTGCACCGAGACCAAACGGAGCCGTTGGGCCAGGCGCTGGCTCGCATCGCCAACAACGTCAGCAAAGGCCATGCCAAGAAGGCCAAGAAGAGCAAGAAAGCGCAGCCCGAACCCGAACCCGGGACGCCTTCTGAGCTCGTCCCCGTTCGCCTTTTCACCCAGGACGGGGAAGCCGTGCCCGAGGACGTGCCCAACGAGGAGGCCTGGAAGGACGGGTCGGTGCTGCAAATAGGCGAGACCCGCTACCGCGTGGAGCGCAATCCGCCCACGCTGACCGAGGTGCAGCTCCCACGCTCTCTCATGGCCGGTTTCCCCGTGTGCCCCAAGCTCCAAGTCGAGTTCGGCTCCGCCCGGGACTGCCTCTTCCGTTGGTTTTACGAGGAGAAGATCGAGCCGGCTGAGACAGCGTCGGCCGCCGCGAGCAACAGCTGGGTGGAAGCCCCGGCCGGCTCAGAGCGAGTCTTCATGCCGACCAACGCGCAGATTGGACGCCGCTTGAAGCTCGTGTGCATCCCGGGCAACGGCGAGCAGCGCTACGGGCTGCCCCGCGAGGCGGAAAGTGTAGGCCCCGTGGAGGCTGGCCCGGGCGCTTGCACTTTCGAAGCGCGGCATCTCTACACCAAGAAAATCGCGGCTCCGGGACTGATCCGCGTGGTTTCCTATAACATCCTGGCCGACATCTACGCCAGGACTGAGCTCTCGCGGACCGTCCTTTATCCGTATTGCGCTCCCTATTCGCTGGAGCTCGACTACCGGCAAAACCTGCTCAAAAAAGAACTGGCTGGCTACAACGCCGACATCATTTGCCTGCAGGAGGTAGACAAGTCGGTCTTTGTGGATAGCCTGGGTCCTGCCCTTGACGCCTTCGGCCTGGAGGGGCTGTTCCGGATCAAAGAGAGGCAGCACGAAGGCCTGGCCACTTTCTACCGAAGGGACAAATTCCGTCTCCTTAGTCAGCACGACATTGCCTTCAACCAGGCTCTGCTTGAAGATCCCTTGCAGAGAGAACTGCGGGACAAGGTGGCGACCTGCCCGCAGGTTGAGGAAAGCCTGCTTAAGCGATCGTCAGCTCTACAGGTAGGCCTTATTAGTCCCTCTTGCCTGAAGGGAATGGTGGGGTGGCTAGAGGGAGGGAGGGAAGTGCGTTTGCAGGTTAAGTTAAAGGGACTTTCAGTGAGACATTCAAAGTCAGAACTTTCTGAATTCCCCAAACTGGCATCTTTTGGTACCTTGGGGCAGTTTTGACTTTGTTAAGAAAACATAATAAAAACATGGTTTCAAGGAAAAAGAAAGTGAGATAAATTCCTCATAAATCGACCAAGGTAGAAAATTACTGAGATACTGTATAGGTGGAGCACAATAACCAGCCCCTCAAATATAAAGTAGTTAGTCCTTTTTTATTTGGTGTTTTTTGAATGAGGAAAATAAATTTTCTAAAGGGATTTTTGACTTTGTTGGCAGGATAACTCTCTGAAAATAGAAGAAAAGGAGAGATAAGTTGGAAAAGTTATATTGAGTGCAAAAATTGGGCTGGGAGATGCAGAAAAAAACAGGTCCAGAAAGCATTCATTTGATGTACCTTTCCCAGAGAGGCAACTGTACTGTGACTTGAAATGCTCCACTTGTAAATCTGCCTCCTTCATGGTCATGTGGTGGGAATGCTGTAAGTGAGGATTGCAAGCAACTTCAGAAGCCATATGCTGCATGCTTTCAGACTTCATGTTATTCTTTTTAACCCACTTAAATGTTGGAAATAAATTATGTAAAGGGGCCTGGATTTTGTCCATCAGCAGGATAGTTCTGTAAAAGTAAAATAGAATGGGACCAAATTTGGTGTGGGGAAAAGCCAACAATATGGTTTGTGTATAAAATGAGTTGGATCCAACCAGGTTTATGGATGAAAAATGTCCTAATATATTACTATGGAAGAAAAAGGTGGGCAGTAGTTTGTATTGTTGCAGACTTCCCCATAGATAGTCTTTGATTTACAGCTATTTAACAACTGTCTAAAAAGTGTGGCATTTCTGGCCATTGCAAAATGTTACATATTCATACATATGCACACCCATTCTGCAATCATGTGATTATGATTTGGGTGCTTGGCAACCTGTTCACACTTAGAACTGGTTGCCAAATACCCCATAATGATGGCTGTTTACAATATTCTTCCCAAACTTTCTCAGAAAATCAAGAAGCCAGCAGGGAAGATTGCAAGCTGTTGTCACCTGTAGAGAAGACTCTTTTTGGTCTCTGGAGCTGGCTGAAAGAATGTCCTGTCAGAGGATATCCACTCCCCACAGAGCTGAACCCCTCAGAGAAAGAATTCTGAGAGCAAAACGATTGCTGGAGGATTTCAGCTCTATGTCGAATTGAGTATTTTGGAGAACAAAAGGGCTGGCTGCCTGAGGATTTCAGCCCTGCACCAAACTGAATCCCTCCATAAGACAATTCTTTTTGCTCTTAAAAAGATTTAGCTTCACATGGTTGAAACCCTCCAGCAGGATAGCTCTTCCACTCACAACCAGGAGTGCCAAGAATGTGATTATTGATCAAAGCAATCATATGACATCTCACCTAAGACACCCCCCTCCTTTATTGCCAGACTTGTACCTTACGACAGAACTATTTCTGAATTCCAACTACTATGCTCTTTATCATTTCCCTAACTTAGATACTATATACAGTATCTGTATATGTGGTATTAGAATTCATAAACATTTTTCTTGTAGGTTTCTGTCCTTCAGTCTCAAAATGATTCTTCAAGAAAGATTTGCGTAGCCAACACTCACTTGTTTTGGCACCCAAAAGGTAATTTCTGTTTCTGATATTTTTTAAGCTGGTTATTACCTTGTACTTTGGATTCTGGGTTTGGGTGTATATATAGAGAATTAGTAAATTGCAGAATGGAAGCCTGTATGGCACTGGTTTTTGCCACAGGGTTAAAATGAGGTCCTTTCTAGGTGCAGAAACATTCTTATCAAGCTAAAGCAAGAACACCAACAGTTTCAAAAGAAGTCTAGATTATTGTATTGTTCATAAGTGGATGAAGCACAAGAACTATTGTTAATTGGAGCTACTTGAATACCATGGAATAAAGTGTTCTGGAATGATGTTACTGCTGAACAGCAAATAGAATAATTACTTGACTCCTTTGGGATGTGTATTACAGTAGCAGAGAATAAACTCTTGGATTAATTGAGGAAACGTTTAATGTCAACTTCAAGCAGGAGGCAGCACTTGCCTGACATTGTAGAGACAAACCAGATTAATAGTTGGGAAGGAAACTACCAGGAAATTCCAGGTAGACTAGAAATTCAAAGAGCTGTCCCAGAATGGGGTCTCGAACTGAAATTAACACTACAATCCATGAAGACTGTCAACCTAAGGACTGCAAGTATTCTCAGATATTAATTTAAAAAGGTCTAATGGGTGCAAGATTTCCATAAGCTTATTAAATCAGAAATGTTATTGCAAAACAGCTATTTTTTCACCATTCTTGCCACAGTCTGGCATATTTTTCATTAACTAGAACATGAATCTTTAGTTTGGTAATTGTTGAATTACAACATATAACCCTTGTGCCTAGCCATCTGAAATTTAGGATGATTTATCTGCTTAGCAGAGGCTAGAAAATATCCCGGTAATTTTCTTTATAGGAAAAAAACCATATTTGTTTTTAGTTTTGTGTGTGTCACTTCTTCCAAAGTATATATAATTCTGCAAATGTAGCTCAATTTTAGAGTATTATTAAGCAGATTAAAATTTATTAAATATGTTCTATACTATGAAGAGGGATGTAAAGCAAAGGAACACCAACACTTCCTTCTTCCCCTTTAAAGGGCCCTTAACTATACTTATTTGAACAGGAAATTGCAGTGAAGAAAGGAAGATAGAAAGAGTCAGAGAAAAGGAACATTGAAGGTGGAAGTTGGAAGAAATAAAGAGAAAAATAGCAAAAAGTTGAAGTACACAAAAAAGAATACTGTATAGAAAGAACTGGGAACATGGGAGCTAAACCAAGAGGAATAAATAATTGTGGGCCACAATTTGCAGAACTGACAGAATCAGCAAAGCAGTAACACTGGAAGCAGCTGACCAGTGCCAGCTGCCGGGAAAACAGAGTAGAATGTCAGCCAGACCAGCTGATGCAGTGACAGCAATGGCCCCAAGAACATCATTAGCACTGAAACAGGCTCTGAGGAAGGCAGCAGATGATGACACGGTAGAAAAGTCCAAGAAGCCTGAAAAATTCAATGTCTGGGTGCCTGTTAGCTGTCCTGAATGACAGTTGCACCACCCAACCATTGGTAGAGGCTAAGTGCCTCCAGCAGCTGCAACCTTTCTGAACAGAAAGAGTCCACATCTTCTACCTAGCATTCTTTTGATAAGAGACCACACAAGTGACTGCAGCGTTGTGGGTTAGGAAGTAGGAAGTTTAAAGGTTTAGAAAGAATTCAATCCAGGGTTGCTGCGGCATATAAGAGGATCACTTTTAAAAGTGTGTGTATGTAAATAAAATTAAAAGGTGTTAGAGTATGGAATAATAAAGTGATCAGTTGTAGAATTGGAATGAGACTACAACAGAACAAAGTATAATTTCTGGGAATGAGATTTTTATTTGGTAAATTTGTATAGCTGTCATCTTACATATATGATTTTGAACTACGTACAAAGTTGGAAACAAAATAACCAAAACATTAGAAAAATCATTAAAAAGTCAAAATTATTTACAGAGAAATCTGTTGAGGGGAATTGGCCTCTTTTTTGGTTCACCATCTCCCAAAATGGAGCTGTGCCATTTCCCATGGGCAACAGCAATTGCCAGTGCCCTGTACCTGCCCCGCCTGCAGCTTCTTGCTGTTGCTGGTAAGCTGACAAGTTTCAGGTTGAGCTGAGATGATATCTCAATACAGTGTATGTGTTGCTGTCTGTCAGCCTCTCCATTCTAGGTGCAGAGCTGCCTGTCTAAGACTTGTAAGCTGCTAACATATTTTGGCTGTCACCATCCAACTGTGTATCAGTGTGGCCTAGTTTACCTAATATGGCATGGAAAGCTATAAATTTGAAACCCCTATTATGAAATTCAACTTGGGAGCTTTTTTAATATTAAGACTGGATATTATTTGAAAGCTTAGAGCCATTGACTAAACATAATGATCCTTTTTTTTTTTAGGTGAAAATATCCGTCTAATCCAAGTTGCAATAGCATTATCCCATATTAAGCATGTGATCAATGACATGTATCCTGCTACACCTCTCATCCTCTGTGGGGATTTTAATGCCACACCATCAACTGGAACATATACTTTTGTCAATAGCGGTAGTATTACTGAAGATCATGAGAGCTGGGATTCAGAAGTTAAAGAGCAACGGTTTGCTATGTCTCTAATCCACCAGTTTTGTCTTAAAAGTGCTTGTGGAGAACCAGCCTACACTAATTATGTTGGAGGCTTTCATGGATGTTTGGACTATATTTTCATTGATGCAAATGTTTTGGAGGTTGAACAGGTAATTCCACTGCCAAGCCATGAAGAAGTAACCACCCACCAGGCCTTACCAAGTGTTTCACACCCATCAGATCATATAGCACTAATATGTGATATAAAGTGGAAATGATCTGATTGTTTTCTGAAATGTGTGCTACTTGTGAAAAATTCAGTTGGAATGCTTCTTTGATCACAATTATATCTCATTTATAATTCTTTATAAGTGGTCATACTTTTTATAACAGCGTTCTTATGTACCAGTGCTATTTTTTTCTTTTACTAATGAACAAAATACATTTTGAAACTATGACTGTCCTTTTTCATTTTCATATGACTTTTAAAATAAGGAAAGGAGTAGGACTGGTTTATTTAAACGGATATTTGCCAATCAATCACTATTGACATGTGAAAGAATAGCCGCTATGTTGTCTTCATAAGACTATTAAAGATTCAAAAAAATATTCGGAGAGTTCCCACTATTGGGGGAAAAGATCTTACATAAACCAAGATAATTTGGGTTTAAATAATAGTAATATTATGGTATGCTTGGGTAGTGATTTTTTTTCTGACTAGAGACTGATTTTGCTAGGAAGCAGTGATTTTAATCAATAGTAATCCACCTTTAGGGGAGTTTAAAAACTATTGCTTCCTGCTGTTTTGGAAAGTTCTTTTAATGATTTGAGCAAGGTCTAAGTAACAAAGACCCTACTTATTTCATTTAAAGCAAAGAGAAGTAATCAAAGAGGTGCTGTAGCTGCAGCAGCACCATCTTTCAGATGGGGCTAACCTTCTCTTGTCTTGCTGATGAAGGCTAGAAAAGGTAATTAAATTACAGTTAATCCTCTTCCACACCAGTTCACAAGACCAAGTTAAGAAGGCACTCAACTGTTAATCCTGTTTACAGGGGTAAATTGTCTCATTAACTGAAGATATTTGAATTTGCAGATGTGATCAAGATACTGGTGTTGCTGGTAACCTGGTTAAGCATGTTCTGCACCCTAAACCATTAAAATCTGAATCTTTGTTAGCTGCTCAAATTTATGGATTTGAAATAGGTGGCCATATAAATCAAATACATAAACTAGTTAAAATGATTAATTTCTTAACTGAGCATTATATGACAGTGTTAGGTCTACTTCTCACAAATGTTAACTGACTAATAATGGGGGATGTTGGCACCCTGTTTCATTGCCCTTATTTGTGTAAGATAAGATTATCCTATGGCTAGCTACTTTATGGCACAAGGTCATGCGACCAGTTATGACTACTTTTATGTCAATTTGCATAGATTGTTAAAACTAGATCAGTTTATCGAATACCAAATTAACCATGGTTTAGTATTTCATATGAACACAGTATAACTCATTTTTGTCTTGTCAGGTCCATTAATTTATGTAGTTTCTGGACCCTTTATTTGCCTAACCAGATTGCTACAGTATATTCAGTCTGTGTATTATATACTATTAAAACTGATTCCTGTAACCTTTAACTGGGCAAAACAAGGGCTAAATGTTTTGAAAAAAGTAGCTCAAATGGGCTAATTTACAGAATGTGCCCAAAATCTGGGACCCATGCCTTTTGACAAATTTTATAAGTTTTATGACATAAACATCATAAAACACTTTATGACATAATACAAATGTTAAAACCTATTTTCTGTATTGATGTTTGACTCTGCTGCAGAGTTCAACATGGGCTATTTTCAAGGCAGATACATCTCTGGATATATCCCAGCTTTTCCAGTTAAGGCAGTACATCCAAAGCTCTTGTCATTGTCAAAGGCATTGAGAAATCTCATAAGGGAAGTTCTGAAAGCATGACCGAACCGGTCTTGAGTTGCCTGGTATCATCTAAAAGTTAATTTAGTTAATTCATTTAACTCAGTTAAATGAGAATGAGGTGGCTGGAGTCATTGAAGCACTGGTTGTGAGCTTAAATAGACTCCGGGGGATGATAGAGGACAGGAAGACCTGAAGGAACGTCCATGGGGTCGTGATGGGTCGGACACTAAAACAAAAGTTAACTTTAGCTCTAATTGGCAAATACACACTCCACAGAATTTTTTTGACAGTTGAAATTAGTTATACTTGACTCAGGTATTTTAAAAAAACTCTCACTTGTATAACACATCTTGATATAACTGCTGCATCTTCACAATGGCTCAATTCTTAGATTCAATCTAAGAATCCTTTGGAAAACCATGAGATGCAGTTTAGAAGCATATGGTAATTTTAAAAAACCTACCTTGTACACCATGTCTTGTGCTAAGAATACAAAACAATTTAACACAGAGGATCTAATAAGCTGGTAACCAATGTTGAAAAATCTCAATTTTGAGCAGCAAAAAATAGTATTTCAGCAACTTTTAGAAAGCCATAAGCCATGATGTAAATGCAAGTTTATCCCTTGAGAACAGCATCTTTAAAAAAGATTAAATCTTTGTTTCCTGTGAGGGTATTCACACAGCCTTGCCTCAGATATACAAATTGGAAGGAATGCAGTGTGAGCTATTTGTTTTTTTTAAAAAATTATTTTCAGGTTTGAGCACCAGTTTTAGTGTTTCCTTGTTTGAATAGCCTGGCAATATTAAATGTTCCTGCTTAAGACTGGAATGAGAACATGAGCCAAAGAAACAGTGCTGATCTGTGCAAGCCCTATTAAGTAACACAAGGTCTTACTGGCTTTATCTATTTTTTTGAACCAACAATTTTCTGAGTAGATATAGGAATGTTGTAAAGTATTTGACAAAATATCTGATAACATTCTGTACATAGAATGGATAGAATTATTAAATGTATACATATATGAACAGTTAAACTATAAAACTAGAGAAGGCATCAAATAAAATGCCAAAACATGCAGTCATGAGACCAATATTCCTTAACATTTTTATTAATGACTAGGATGAGGTAGATGGAAATATGGATTCTGTGGACACTACATACTGCTATTACATCCCAACATGTTTGCAAAGTACTGATGGCAGTTCTCAAGTTGTGCTAATTTCTTAAATACAATAATTTGTCAAAAGTATAACAAGCCAGAGAAGATATTATGGCTTAATATGAAGTATGCAGCTAATGTATGTATTATGTAAATTTAGCAGTTTGGAGAATTATTTGAATGATATAAAGTAATTCAATAAATTAAAATTTCAGTTTTAAATGCATCATTATTGTGGTGCCAGTTATAAATGACTTTAAAAGACATTAGAAAATTCAGATTCTGAGAAGAGGTATGTAAGTTTCCGAATTAAACAGCTATCCGACTATCTAAGGATCAGATAATTGACTACGTGGAAGGAATACACAGGACAATTGCTAGCGAACCAAAGTAATCTGTCAATCATTAATAAAACAGACTCTTGGGCAGTTTGAACTTTATTACCATTCTGAACTCTAAGTATTCTCATATCTGGACATCTTAAAAGGATTTAGATTTACAGCTTCAAAACACAAGATTTAGCTTTGATAATCAGTTATGTTGCACACTTTAACTGCCCACCTTAATTTTTTGCCAAATTGAAAACAATTCAAAATCTATTCAGATCTGTTTGTGTTCAAGGTACAGAAAAAACTCCGTTTATTGAAAAAGAATCTGTCACACATTCATATTATCAGTTCCACAAACGTAAGATTCAAGGAGCATACAACAAAGCTATACATTTGTATCATTTTAATTAGGAATAATTCTGAATAGGTTATAAAGAAATTAATCCATCAAGTCTGAAGAATTTTCAAAATCTCTTCATGAAGATATGTTCACCAATAAACAGTAAAACTTTAGCAGAACTATTATACACTGGGCAAAACAGGCTGATACTGAAAGCAACATGCAAAAAGAAAAAAAAGACAATCTGCTGAATATTTAAAAACTCCAATGAGCTTGTTGCAACCAGCACAGTAAGTATTATCAGGCTGAGTTCACACAAAGGCAAAAGTGGGTCAATTAGAAGAGGGGGTTAATAAAATGTTCCTCAGTGCAGAAGATTTGAATAGTGTTTTAGAGGATTCTTGGCAACACCAGGAAGTGTTTTTATAAGGGAGAGAAATAAATATAAATGGAATGCTAGATTAAGTCAGCAGACTGTCTTATGGAATGAAACAGGGATTGGTAACTTAGAGATAAGAGGGGTCTTAAATATACTTAATTGAATTGGGGCTCAATAAGCATTCAATAGATTTCAAAGTCACAACTATATTCAGGCATTTAGGCTAACAACAAAAGGAAAAATCAGAAGATACACTTTTTTCAAATTAAGGAGTTTCTCTTTAATCCAAGCCTAATGTTACCTTGGCAACATAGCTTGGAGAACAATAATTGGCAACAAAATAAGTAAAAATGCTGTAATATCCTGCCCAAATCAGTTCCAGATACTGTATAATAACCAAGATGCAGCTAATTTTGATGTAACAAGCCTAGACCACTTATATCAAACGTGTCCTTGGTGCGAAAGTCATCCAGTTGCAATTAACGCTTTGATAGCTCATTTGACAGCCAATCAAGTCCCTCGTATAGACCAGTACCTTGTGTAGCACAGGTAGCCTGAACATACCACTGTAAAACAGAAGGAAGTGATATTTTTAATATTTGGTACTGTTCTTGAGAATACATTTCAATTCTGAAATCCAGGACAAATTCCCATGTCTCCCACTATATTAAGCAATTCTAAATTAGAACATAGGCGGGGATGTCAAAAAACATCCTGGAAGAAGGCAAATGCAATCAACTTCTGTACTGCTATTATCTCTAACAATTACTAATTTCTAAAGAGATCTTTTATGCAGAATTATAGTCAAAGACAGCGTAACTTGAATGAATCCAATAACTTCTTATTTCATTTTTATAGTAACTCTTCCTTTCACAGTAGGCCAGAATGTTTACAGATGAACATATAGTCCATGCTAAAATGATTATAATATCAACAACAAAATCAGTCCTAAAAGAAACACAAATTTAAGTATTGCTAAACATAAGTAGAATTATGTAATCACAATTGTCTTAATTATCAATTATTTCTTTGTTAGCATAGAAAATATCTTTGTCTCTTTAAAAAGAGAATTATAATTCAGCTGAGAAGTTTGTTGTTATATTTCACCCACTGAAGTATTAACTCCTCTTAGAACAGCTAAGGCTGACAGCTGAAACTGAAGTTCAGAAACCTCTAATGGGCTGCAATTAAAGATCTGAATCAATGAGTGGGAAGACATTTACATATGGGGGATGGGCAGGGAACATGGATTGACTAAAACATTTTATCTCTCTTTGCAGTATCAAGTGCCACTTATAGATATTTGGATGTTGTTTTCTGAGGAAAATAGGAAAACACTGCCCCACATGATGAACACAAATACTTATACCAAATGTCAGCTTTTCATTCAGAAGTTTAACTGAATGTAGAAAATTTCAGTGCTTACAGTTCTATTACGCAGGGACTGAAGGCCTAGTTTATCTGTCATTTCACTGATTGCCATGGCATTTGGCAAGTCTTGTTTGTTTGCAAAGATAAGCAGCACCGCATCTCTCAACTCATCTTCTTGAAGCTGGAAGAAAAAAAACATGATAACTTCCATCTTTTGACATTTCTTACAAGCAAAAACCTACAAGGGAAGAAGACAACTCCACTGGCTGTATTTTTCCTTTATTTCCCCAAACGGTATTCAGAAACAAAGGTGTTCAATTTATCACAGAAAGCCAGTTTGGTGTGGTGGTTAAAGTGCTGGCCTAGAAACCAGAAAATTGTGAGTTTTAGGTTTCTCTTAGACATGGAAGTCAATTGGGTGACCTTGGCCAAACTGAGGAGAAAATAGAGACAGAAATCATAGGTATATTCGCTACCTTGTGTTGACGTTCTCTCTCCCTCCCTCCTCACTCACATGCAAATAAAAAGGTGGGATATCTAATAACTATTACTACTACTACTCAATAGTCAGATGAGAAATAGTGTACTATACTAAAGTAGCTCTTGGAAGTATAATTTTTTTGTAAATAAACGAAACATGCCAAAGCTGATCATACCATTTTTACCATTAGCATATAACATTGACGGCTAACCTTTTCAGTACCGAGTGCTGAAACGGGAGCACGTGTGCCAGAAAGCTTAGCTTCCTGGTACATGCCTGCGTGCCAGCCACCTGGTCTGCTGGATTCTAACGTGCACGTGCATGCAAAGACCAGCTGGCTGGTGCACATATGCACATTGGAACCCGGAAGAGCAATGGGCTACGGCTGGTGTGCCCGGAGAGATGGCTCTGCGTGCCACTTCTGGCACACGTGGCATAGGTTTGCCATCACAGGCATATAACATTACGCTTCATAATCTAGTCCATACATTTGAAAAAAGTTATTTAAAAAAATGTCAATTGACCAAAATTATGATGAACAGCGGATGTCAAAATCTATAGGCTTCTTTGGTGACAACAATAGCAGATGGAAGATGACAACTTGGAATGAAAGAGAAGTAAATTATGAAAAGTATGAATCAACTAATAAAATGAATGAATGAGAGAACAGGTACACTGTATATCTGAAGTTAAGAGAAAAAGGATATTGTAGGTGTAAAAGTGTCTAATCTTATGAGATTGACAATAAATGCAGAGAAGCAATACTGCAGGTTTAATTACAAATAAAAAAAGACAAATGTAGGTCAAAGTCTGAATTTGAGGTATGAGTGCTAAATGAGAGAAGTAACATACAGCCTAGAATGCTGCACTCTGGCAGGGGTGTGTGTGTGAGATAATCAGTGACGCATTTGAGGAAACGTTGCACAACTTTCTGAATGACTCCAAAGATGGAAAATTGTACTGTCAAGTGACAGAAATGAATGAGTTGGGATTGAAAAGACACAGAAAAATCTAATTTGAATGGTTGAGAATGATGATGGGGTAGTACTTGCTTAGAATGTTTTAAATAAACTATTTTAGCACAATCCATTCAAGTGTACACCTGGAAAAGCACACTTGATTTGACTGTTTTTAGATGAAAGAGATTTAGTGGTGGCACAATGGTGATGAAAGGTTCTAAATGTGAGACACATTGGAAAGGCATTAAAAATTGTGTGTAAAAATTATACTGCAATGTGCCACAGAAAAGAAAAGACTTCTGTACCCAAGAAAAATGAAAAAGGGTGATTCATTCATTCATTGTATATGGTGCCCACTTGAAAATAAGTGATTCTGGGTATTGAAAACAACTTTATGTTCTTAGAAGAATCAAATAAACTGTGGATGGTAGAAAAAAGCATATAAGATAATTATTGCCAAAAATAAAGAAAAAATACACATTGCAAAGAGGAAAAAAGCAGCTTCAAAGAAAGCAAAGAAAAAGAATTTTAAAAAGCAGAGTGCTGAGAAATTTGATAAAAATAAAACATTGTTTTGGAAGTGAGTGAACTAAACAAAGAGACCTCAGCAAATATATAAGATTATGAAATATTTTGAAAAAAATGAAATGAGGGAATGACAGAACATTTTAGAGATCTGAATGGGAAGAACAACACACTGAAGACAAGAATAAAAATGAAAGCTCTATTATTGGCTGAGAAGAAACGATGAAAAGTAAAAAAATATAACTAGGTTGAAAAAATAGCAGTTACAGGTAAAAGTAGTGTGACTGGATAAATGTTGAAATATTGATATAGAATGACTGTGCAATTGATTTTTCATGTATATAAAGGCATCAGCGGTGTCTCAAATTTGGAAGTATTTATTGTTTCTCTTTGCAAAAGGAAAAGGGAGCAAGTGTGAATGCAAAAATTACAGGGAAGAGTAATGAGTTAAGTGTCCCTGGGTGGATGCTTGGCAGAATTCTGACTGAAA